CTGTGGCTTCGGATCAAGTCGATCAGACTTGTGATGGAAACTTTTGGTGAGACAATCTTGGGTTCGCACCCAAGAATTACACTATGTTTGAGAATTTAGGAATGAAAAGAAAAGAAATGATTAGTTAAATTATAAGAGAAAAGAAAAGAAATAATTGTGATTACTTTTCTTTTTGTTTGAATAAGGAAAAAATAAAAGAAAATAAATGATTGAGATTTTTCTCATTATTGTTTGGTTAGATTTCATTAAGAGAAAAGAAAAGAAATTATTTTATGTTATATTACTAAAATAACTTTTTATATTTTTAATTATTTTATTTCTTTTATTTCTATAGGGACAAAATTGGTATTATAAAATAGTGGTTTCTTTTCTCTCTCAATCTCTCTACTTTTGAGAATATTGAAAATGAGACTTATAAGAGAAATGAGTTTCTCTCCATTTCTCTCTATTTCTTCCTATTTCTCTCCACTTAAGTTATCCAAACAAGTAGGAAAAATACATATCTCTCCATTTCTTTTTTTTTCTCTCCAAATCACTCAATCCAAACATAGCGTTAGGGTTTAGATCTAGAACCGGGTATGTTTCTCATTTTTAATTGAAGAACTGTATGTACGATTTATTTTTATTTTTTTTTGAACCAGGAACTGTATGTACAATTAGGAACAATAAAAATAGCTACTAAAAGGCAAAATAGGTTAAAAGGTCAATAAGATAAAATGTCACATCTAAATTATAATTATTTCATTTTTAAAGGTCAATAAGATAAAATGTCACATCTAAATTATAATTATTTCATTTTTTTCTCTCACAAAAGTCAAAAAAGTCAAAAAATTCATCCAAAATTAGACTTTTTAGCCCTATGCTAAAATAGCCAAAAAGTCAACTACAGACACCCCATTTTAGACCGCCCTTAAGACTTGGGTGCTTCATTCCAAACACTCGATGATGAAACATTAAGCTATGCAATTTTTCGAATCTTCAGAAAAAAAAAATCAGTTTTGAGTTTCGAACCCAAACCTTGCACCCTATTTGAACCAAAACCCGTTTTTTCTAACCTGATCACTCAAAGAGCACCAAGTTCAAAAGTTGATCGGCAGGCCACTTTTTTTGGCCAGCCATACATCCTCTTGGCCACCAAACCATGTTTAGCGCAGAAGATATTTTTACTGTAGCAGGCTGCTCCTGTGCATGGGATTTGGCCAGCTATTCTCTTTTGAAGATATTTCTGACATGAGAAGCTAAAATTCTATAAATACAACACCTCCCGTTTGAGTTTAGTGTTAGAAAACTTAGTGAACAAGCGTTTCCAAAGGCATACAAAGCATTCTCTACCCTCTTGACTATAGATACACTATTGAAGCTAAAACTTGAAACTTTTTGCTGAAGTTTTGAACCTTATTTCAGACACTTAAGAGTGTGTGGATTGAAGTTTGTGAATCAAGAAACTCTTCCTCTTTTCAAGAGGTTATCTTTGAACACTTTTCATCGCCTTTTCTTTTATCCTCTTGTTCTTCATCCTCTGTTTTAAATACTGAATTTCAGAGTATTTTTAGGCTTTAACATGTGATTTAAACCTTGTTGAGGGTGGAAGGATTAGCCACCCTTCCATAGGCTTATCCATTAATGATGTTCTCTTGGCATTCTTCATGCTTTTGCTTCTTTTTCTTCAATTTCAGTACTATTTTATATAGTTTTGTATGAATATGGACTGTATATATGTGTTTAAAGCTTCAAATAGTTAGTTTGATTCATGTTTCTCTCTCTCTTCTTCAAAGTTGTTGTGAGCTCTCTTCTAGTTCCATCTTTGAAGTATGGAAATAGTTGTCTCATCCGTTTTCCCTGAGTAGGAAGATGAGCATAGAACAACTCTTTATAGCTTTCATTCATTTACTTAGTCTTGTTTTGATTTTGCTTTGAAGACATATGAGAGCTCTTTCATCGGAAGTATAGAGACTCTCTCCTAGTTCCTTTTTTGAAGCATGAAAATGGATTCCAATCTATCTTCCATGAGTAAGAAGAAGAGTCTCTTTGCTTCTCTTAATGATATAACCTCTTGTTTGTAAGCTTTGTTTTCAAGAATGGCTTTCTCTAAACCTAATCTCTCTAAATTTGAGTACTCACTTACTCTTATTTTCCATGAGATAGAGTAAGTTTCATGCCATCTCTTTGAATGTTTCCTTTTCTTAATTTGCCTTAGCTTTGTATTCATTGATTTCCGTCTTGTTGCTTCATTAATCATCATTTAAATACCCTTGGGATGCTTGATGATTTGTGAAGCAAACCTATTCTCTCCTTGAAAATCTTCATGACAGGAGGGAACAGGAAGAATGAATATCCTTTGAAAACCCTCTATTTTTGCTCTGTTCCAGTTTTGTTGCAACAGGTCTTTTTCCAGAAAAAGTGGCCGGCAAGCCACCATCTTGTACAGTAGACCAATTTATTAGGCCGACCGGCCACCTTATTTGTACGGTAGTGGTGGTTTTTCAGCAAAACAAAGCAAATCTTGTAAGAAGGAAAATTTGTAAACACTTGATGTATGTCTTCCAACCTCCATTTCTTTCTCCCTTTTATTTACATGCTTGTCATGGTTGTACAAAAAGCATCATGTTTTCCTTTATCATTCCCATGCTTTGAATCCATTTTTGCATACATTAAGGTTCAGTTCATCATACTTGATGTCTTTATCATTTCCTACTTGATTATGTGCCCTACCTCATGCTTTGAGTTGATTCACATGTCATGTTAGTAGCCGAATCTAGTAGTTGCATTTTGTATGCGTCACATTAGACATTTTGCATATTAGGATCATGCATTTTTTTTCTAGCATCTTCTTTTCTTTGGCTTGCCTCGGTTGAATACTAGGTGAGCATTTTTGCTTTTAGCATATCATGTGTGAGTTTGTGTTACCATGTCGAACATACTGCTATGAGGCTACTTGCTTACTCGAAATATCTTTATGAATGCTTGTGGATGGAGGCTATTTTGATAATTAGAATGACTTTGATTATTGTACATATGAGCTCGTTTTTCCTTTGAGCTGCACATATTCAAAACGCTTTTCAAAGAAACATGAAATCAAAGCATTCCAAAGCTAGTGATGTGGTAGTAATGTTAGTATATTAAATAATCAAAACATGAGCATATAATGTCTATAAAATTCAAATCATGATTTAGTAGAGGTTGATTTTGATCGGGTGAGTAGGGTGCTCAATTCATGACCTTCCCCTCTCATACCTAAGTTTCCAAGCCGAGACAACTTTCGTTATAATGGATAAGTAGCCTTTGACATGAGTCACAAGTTTCCTAATTTTTTCAAAAATATTAGGTGGCGACTCTGAAATTTGGCAATGGAGTCCATTTTTGGAATCTCTGATGATTAATGGATTTTTTAAGATTTGCCAAATTTAGACTCTCATTCGTTTTTCAGTTTCACATTTCACTTATAAAACTAGATTTAGAACCACGGGAGTTCGAATTGTAGGGAATCATATCCGATGAGACTAAACCCTTCCGAGGATTGCGAAAAACTAGCTACATCTGGCGACACTACTGGGGATTAGAGAACTTGACTTGAACTTCATGACGTGAACTTTTATTTACATATATATATATATATATATGTTCATTGCATTTCATTTGCATTGGTGCACATAAGTCATTGTGTTTACCATCTGATATCCTGGACGACATACTGGAGGCTTGCCAAAAGGTTGGATGGACGTAGGCAATGTCACGTTGGGAACATAACCCTTGGATCTAGGTTACTGCCGTACCGCTCGATCCTCCTTTCACGTTTCGGTGTTAGACGTGAGAGGTATATTAGATAATTTTGTTGAGGACCCTTTTGACCAATTGGCCTAGTGCATGTAGTAAGCTCCAGTGACTTTTCCAAAATAGGACAAGAGGCTCTCCCACATTCAGGATGTTGTGATACCACTTGTTTGAAGTAATGAAACTCTAGATCATTCTAAAGCTAGGACAGGGTAACCCTACCCCCCTCATAGGGGTGTTTTTGCTCTCTTTACCTGCTATGTGCTATGCAGTGAATCTATACAAGGGTTCCTAAATTCATATCAGTGGTTCAGTTATATCAGTTTGTGGGGCAGAATGCAGTAGGAAGTACAGTCATTCAGTTGTGATCATATATGTTTTGGTGAAATTAGGCTGAAGTGTTGTCTAATTTTTTATTTTTGCTGCTAGGTAATCCTGAAACCATAACTTTAGAAGGTTCTAATATCCCCCAGTTGCTCTGGACCTGTGTTGGTAGACTTTGTAAGGTCGGAGATTTAGTTCAGAGACAACCAGTGTTTGCTTCCACTACTACAAAAATAGATAAAGATCACACTTTTTTTGTGTGATGTTTGTTATTTAATCACACCTTTTTAGTTTTATTAAAGTGTGGTCTTTGGGAGTGTGATTAAAAGGGGTCATTTTTAATCACACTTTTTAAGTGTGATAAATAACAGTTAGATCACACCTTTTAAGTGTGATTAAAACTTTTAGATCACACCTTTTAAGTGTAATTGATAACATTTAGATCACACCTTTTAAGTGTGATTAAAACATTTAGATCACACCTTTTAAATGTGATTAAAAACCTTTTAAGTGTGATTAATAACAGTTAGATCACACCTTTTAAGTGTGATTAAAACATTTAGATCACACCTTTTAAGTGTGATTAAAAACATTTAGATCATACCTTTTAAGTGTGATTGTTAACATTTAGATCACACCTTTTAAGTGTGATTAAAAACATTTAGATCACACCTTTTAAGTGTGATTAAAAACTAATAAAACATGTGATAATAAACATTTAAATCACAGATTTTAAATGTGATTAATATCTAATAAAACACGTAATTAATAATTAGATAAGATCACATGTTATATGCATTTAAAGAATGTAATACACACTATATACTATATTTTGAATCACAACCATATATTGAATAAAATAACATCATACATTTCATAAATTAAAGTTCAATGTTCAAAAAATATATACTCCAAAGGAATTAGTAAAAAGTTTTTAACTCCGCTTACATATATTAAAAAATAAAAAATAAAAAACTTGAAAAAACTAAGTTGTTGAATTCTTTGACCATATTTTGCATATCTCCAGGAAATTTTTGACCTGAAAAATAAAATCACAAATTAATTCAGAAACCACTAGAAGCATATGAATGAACTTACTATTTTTGTAGAGACTATTCTTGTCTTACAAAAGACAATTTTCTCATCACACTAACTCTTCATCCCTTGCATCAATAGAAAAGGAATAACAACTTTAATTGTTACTAGTATAAAACGTTTGTATTACCATATATAAATATGACATACATAGAATCAATAAATCCAAAATAAAAATCTTCAATGTATGGCTAAATATTTTAAAGTCATAAAACCAAAAATATATATAGAATCAACAAATCCAAAATTATAAACCAAACATAACAAATCCACAGCCAAGTGGTTCATTCCATGTATCCTTAGAAATTGCAAATGCCCCATCAGCCTGTGATTCCCAAACATACCTGAAAGTCAACAAATTAGATACATCCACAGTTACATTTGTTAAATTTTCGACTGTAAGAACAACTACTCGAGTTCACTAGAAAAAGGATATGAATTCAGAGGCATACTGTTTATCTTCATTATGTTTGCTAATGACTTCAACATAGTCAGCGACAAGATAAACAGAGTAGAACCCAACACCAAACTGCCCAATGAGATTAAGGTCTCCACTTGTCTGCATTTTCTCCACAAAAGTTGTATAATATTAGAATAAATTCAATTACAGACCATTAATTATTAATTCCCCCCAAGGAAGAAGTTGACATTGTACCAGTAAAACACTCAGCCTTATTGATAAAATAAAATACCTGAAGTTCCAGATTTAGCTATTGTTTCCAGTCTTTGAAGATACAAGAATTTATTGTCTCATAAAATGCCTAACAAAAACCCTACAAGCACAGAATGCATCGATGTCTCACAAAACCTCGGCTCCCAATATTGAAATTGGGCACTTAACGTTGGTAAGAACAAGCTATCAGTCACACACACACACACACACACACACACACACACACACACACACACACACACACACACACACACACACACACACACACACACACACACACACACACACACACACACACACACACACACACACACACACACACACACACACACACACACACACACACACACACACACACACACACACACACACACACACACACACACACACACACACACACACACACACACACACACACACACACACACACACACACACACACACACACACACACACACACACACACACACACACACACACACACACACACACACACACACACACACACACACACACACACACACACACACACACACACACACACACACACACACACACACACACACACACACACACACACACACACACACACACACACACACACACACACACACACACACACACACACACACACACACACACTTAATCACACTTTTAAATAGTGTGATCTAATATATATTTTAATCACACATTCTAATAAAGTGTGATATTTATAGATAATTTTAGATCACACATTCAATTAAAGTGTGATGTATATAATATACTATTACTTTATTAATCACACTTTTAATCCTGAGTGTGATTATTAATATTTAATCACACATTCTAAGTTAAAATGTGATTATATATACATTACTACTTTTAATCCACACTTTTTTAAAAAGTGGATTTATTATATATATATAATTATATTTAATCACCACTTGCCTAAATAGGTGTGATTGTATTAAAAATTCAATTTGGTTTATAAAAATATACAAATTCCCAAATTTTAATCACACTTAATCTGATTGAGTGATAATATTTTTATGTCATTCAAAGTAAGCTTGAAAATATCATTAGGGTAAATCTACACTTTGATAATCCCCAAGGTTTATTTATTACAATTCCCCCCTTCACGTTTGAATTTACATCTCCCTCCCGAGGTTTAAAGTTTTATTACAAATTCCCCCTAACAATTTAATTTTTTTTAAAATTACTAATTTTGCCCTTTACTGGGTAAATTAACATTGACACCCCTGTACATTTTAGAAATTACAATCCCTCCCTAAGGTTTAAAGTCCAGCCATTACCAATTTCCCCCCGGTTAGTATTAATTTGCGAAAAAAAATTCATTGAAAAAAAATTAATTTAGAAAAAAATTATTGAAAAAAAAAATTGTTTAGAAAATTTTTAAATTCTGTTTAAAAACCAATATAAAACTATATTTTTGAATTTTACGTTTTTTTCCCTCAAAATTACAAACTGAGACAACCATTATAAATCAAAAAAATTATCAAATAGTCTTATCCACAATTTTTAAAATTTTTGTAAATATTTAAATTGAAAACTGAAAGCGAATGGTTACCAAACAGTTTCAAATGGTACAAAATGTCGTAAAAATAACAAAATAATAAATAAATTACAAACAAAAGAAATGACTTATCAAAAAATTCTTTAGGCTATGTATGTTAATTTTTTTAAAAAAATAATTTGAAAAATTAAACAATTAATTGGTTAAGAAATAAAAAATAAAAAAATAATTATCATTTTATATAATTTTTATCTTTTGAGTGGTTAGAAAAATTTTTTACAAATTTTAAATTGAACAAGCCATACGTATGTAAATAACCTGCCCAAAAGTTAAAAATGATATTGTTTTTACCCCTTAAATGATATTATTTTTAGTTTTTATTTTTCTTAACACAAATTAATTTTATTACTTTTTAAATTTTTTTTTTCTAAAAATCAAACCATATATGGCCTAAGAATGCTTTTTGAATAAGTCATTTTCTTTCGTTTGGTAACTTATTTTAATTATTTGTTAATTTACAACATTTTACTATCTAAAACCTGTTT